AGAGTACAAAGGAGACCAGCAAGAATAACTGCATTGTATGAGATGACTGACAAGCAAATTATCTAGGGAGTTGAGCTTATTAGTCTAGAGGACAGAAGACAGGACTAGTTGCAGGGGGAGAACAATGGCCCTCAAGTACAAGGAAAGGAATAAATCATTCCCCATAAGGGAAGCAAGAGTGGGCTTAAGATCACAGCCAGGGAGACTTAGGTTAGGGTTGTGGTTGTTTTTCTGATGTCTGACAGCCAAAGTTTTACCTGAGATACCGGAGAAGATTCCCCAGAAATCTCTGTTAGCAAATATGCTTTAGAACAAAGCGGTCTCTGTGGCAGAACTGACCACAGTTTCAACAGGATGAGAGACTATATGACCTTTAAGGCCTCTCCCAGACCAGATTTCTGTAGACTGTCTGCACCCCTATGTTCTCCCAAACCCCAGGCCACCCACAACAGGGGTGCTGTTTGCTTAACCTTAACACAGTGGCTTATTCCTGCTAGTGAACAAGGCAGGCTCGTCCCGGTCCAAGTGAGAGTACACCTCACAACAGGTTTTAATTCCAGTACAGCCAAGGCATCACCCTCTCCTATACTTTCCATGCTCTGCACCACAGCTGCCATCCTGGCAGTCTGCCTGGGCCTTAGCAAGCATCCTTTTTCCGGACACTACGTCCTACCTTGATTTGAGGCAACTAGGGTTTCCAGGATTTTGGCATCTCCAACCTCTGAAGGATAGGGGTCTTGCTGCCAGGGAGCCAGGGACTGTGAGAACTCCTGCTTACATTTCAGGCACTGGAGCTTTGTGGATCCCTTCTCCTGGTCCTTATTTTGCCGATTCTCCTCAACAGCTGGGGTCAACACTTCAAGGACACACTAAAAGTAGAAGCACAGGGAAAAGAGTGCTAGCAGGCAGCTATAACCATCCTAATAAAAGCAAGCCTCTGACATCAGCAAGTCTCCTCACATGCCTCATTACAGCATTTCAGAGTGCATGGCATGCAGGGCCATCCCCCAGCTAACAGAGTACAACAGCCAGTCTATGCAAGACTTCTCAAGGGCATGGAGCTTCACTGCAGAAGACACAGAGAACCTGTTTTTGCAGGTCTGTGCCTCATATCTACATATTGACAGGCTCTCCCTGGAACTCTGGTCTCAAAGGTCCCATCTATTTGTGCCTTCTCTGTAAAAACTTGTTTAAATCTACTTAAACAACAATACCTCCAGAAAAATACTTGGATTTGAGACCAGAGTCCCTACAGGAGCTGTGTAGACCAGAGCTGGTATAGCACTGATAGGGCAGTACAGGCTAGTGCATTGCTTGGCACCCAGGAAACATTATGTTGCACAACACGTAAGGATCACTAACGTTACTAACTTTTCTCCCCAAGAGGGAGAAAACAGCAAGGTTTTTTCTGTGAGAGTACCCTTTACGCTCCAGGAGCTCCACAGCCCATGGCCATCCTCACAGGGCGCTCCACAGGTCATTTGTGCAGCAGGAGAAATCCTGAGCTTACAAGCCAGATGTGGGCTGCCACAGGGCAGCAGATGTGCTTGTGCTCTGAGAACAGGGACCCGGTGCTGGCTGGCTTGAAGAGTTCAGCGTCTTCCAGTCCCACCACCCCCCTCTCCAGGCTTCTCCCTCCAGCCTCCCCTACCTGTAGACACTGCTCCGGGCAGTCATCGAGCACCACGTATTTGCGCTTCTGCCGGTCCTTGCGAATGTAGCTGAAATGCAATGTGAGGACAGGGAAAACTTGCTCCATGTCCTGCAGGAGACAGAAAACACCAATTCCAGAAAGAGGGAGGAGTATCCAATATACAGACTACATTTGTTTGCAACTGGCTGAAACATGGCCATGCAAGCCCTTTATTTAGTAAGCCCTCAGCAGCCATCCACAGCTGATAGCATTTGGGAGCCTGGTAAAATGAGCATAAATAAAGCTCACAAGTGCTGAGGAAAACAGTAAGTTTCAAGGTCCAGAACAAAGCATTTCAAAACAAAACACCTTTTCATGAAGGTCTTTCAGAAGAACATCAAGTCACAAAGATTCAAGAGGTACAAGGGCAGGAAGGAGAAAAAAAATAAAAAAGAAGAGTTGGAGCTTTTGGAGAAAACAGTATTAGAAAAGCTTATGAACATGTCCATGCACACACTGAATGTTGAAATCCTACCATGAGGAAAAGAGATTTCCAAACTCCCTTTCTAAAGAACCACAAAAGCAAAATAGGGCTGGTAGTGCTAAATCATGCACCTAGAGAAGTATAACTGCTACCGGTAGCTTTCTAAACATCACACTAGGCTCAGTGCTGCACTGTCTAAGAAAAGTGCAATCCACAAACAGTCCTCCAAGGCCAGTGAGGAATGGATGGGAAGGAGGTCTCCATTTCATTTAGACTCCTCTGGAGAAGTCTCTCCTTCCTGTGCACTGGAACAAGTCCAGCCATTGTCTTTTTAACTGCAGCTTTGGAACAGAATTGGTGCTTGCTTCAGCTGTGCTAATCACAGGTACTCTAAACAATGCAGATGCTGCTAGATACACATGCATTAGGTGGAAGTCATGCTCAATCAATCAGGCTTTGCAGGAGCTAGGAAAAGACCTGCAGGGTACTCTGACAGAATCCCAAATCCAAAATGCTGGCCCACTGAAGGAGTAAGATGCCGACATGGTTCAGCCCCAGTCGGCAGCTGAGCACCACGTGCCGCTCACTCACCCCTCCCCTGGCGGGATGGGGAGGAGAATGGAAAAACAAAGGCAAAGCCTGGTGGGTTGGGGTAAGGACAGGTTACTGGGACAGCAAGGGAGAGGGAGACAATCAACAACAGTGCTGATAACAGATAGTCACAGTGGGTGAAAGCAATTTACCGATGGACTGGACACTCAGCCTGCCCAGCCTGTCCCGGAGCCTCATGAAACCCGCCCCTCCCCAAATAGCCCCCTTTTATGGTGAGCATGACATCATATAGTATGGAATAGCCCCTAGCCAGCTTGGCTCACCTGTCGTGGCTCCTTGTGGAAATTAACTCTATCCTAGCCAGAACCAGGACAGATGCCAAGGGCTCACACAGAGGCATAACTCACCATCCTCTTCCAGTTCATCTTGGAGGTCTCCACCTTCTGCAGGCATTTCAGCTCCAGCTTGTGGAGGACTCTGGCAGCCTTCAGTTCCACCTCAATCACATGCTTAGCTGTGACTCGCAGGAAGATCCAGTCTGGCTCTGGGTCCCCTTCACCTTCTATTTGGCTCACCAGTACCGGCTGGCAGAGGTCCACTGCCAAACAAGACACCATACAGGTCAGTACACACAGCAGGCCTTCAGACCTGCTTGGCCCAATTTCTTAGAATTCCCATAATACTGGGCAGCACGATAAAGCTTCAGGGATATCACATTTGATCCACTTATTCTGTCATCACCCAAGCCCTCAAACACAGCAGTAAAAGGACCTGTTTACCTTCTGGCTTCTCCTCTTCTTCCTCCCCCAGCATTAGCTCATCTGCCTCCTCTTCTCCTCTCTGTTCTCCCTCCTCAGGCTCATCCAGCTGTACTTCAGGCTCTTCCTCCTTCTCAGTATCATCCAGAGGAAGAGAGGATTCTTTCTGGGATACTTGGGGTCTTCCTCGCTCTGAGTCAGAGCTCCCACTCTGCAAGTCCATTGCAGCAGCTCTACCTGCTATCTCATCCGCAGAACGGCTACGGCAGATGACAGGTACTTGGTCATGCTCCTCCAGGTGTCTCTTGTACTGCAGCCAGTCAACACCAAAGCGATCTCTGAAGCTGTCCAAGCGCTTCATCTCCTTCTGATGCTGTAGAACCAGGCCTGCAGAGAGAAAACTCAGGAAGTATGAAAACAGTCACCAGGCCAGAGCACTCCTCTGACTGTGGGCAGGTCAGCTGCTGTGTTACTGAGGAAGAAGATGAGCCTCACCAGCAGAAAGAGGTAAAGTCTGGGGCTCATGTTCTGTGTCACTGGGCTCCGAAATGCTTGCTCTGCGCACTTTGACTTTTCCCTGGAACAAATGGGATAAGAATAGTTGGGAGGCACCAGAACAACCAAACCAGCATCTGAGGAGGGGCTCTGCCACGCTGCAGGGTTCATAGCTGTTACAGTGCAGAAGAACACACAAAACATTTGTCACAGTACATCAAGACTGATGTTAAGCCCAAGTCCTCCTAACACGCAGCAGCACAGAGGCTCAGTACCACGCAGTCAGTACAAGACCACATCCCACAGAACAAGGCTTTCACGCAGAGGCAGCCCCTTCGCCCAACATGCCAGCATCTTATCCACGTAGCTATCTCAGTCCCAGACCTTGCTTTTCTTCCGAGGGAGCCTGACAGCCATGTTCTCTGCTGGGGACTGACTGTCGCTGAAGTCTGCAGCACAGGAACTGTCCAGAGCACTGCGGTCCAGTGCCGTCTTCTCTGAGGTAGAAGTGTGGATGGACTGAGACACACTTTGCACAAGTCTTGGAAGGTGCTAAAGTGAAAAGAAGAGAATGCTGCCTGCTGAGTGTGAAGGGGAGACAAAGTAACCAAGCCACAACTCAGGCTGACAGCTTCACCACCCCTCACCCCAAACTTTCACTCTCTCAGTCAAAGTTATGACAACAGATCCTGCCTGGTTGACTGGATTGTTTATCACGACCACTCCGATTTAACTCAATCTCTGCCTTTCTTAAAAACAGCAGATGGGAAACCGGTAACTGTTTGTTTTGCTGACATGTAATTCAAACGTCAAGTACCAGATAGTACCTGAAAAGGAAAGGGGCAAGGGTCCCAAGTTCTGTCAGGCTGCATAGGACAGAACAAGGTACACCGGCCAGTCCCAAAAATCACTAGGAATCAGCATAGACTGAGTCAAAATGAATTTTGTCAGAGAGTAAAGGCAGTCCACAGAGATTTAACGGGACACATGACATGCAAAAACCTGTCAGAGTCCCCACTCCGAAAGCCAGTAAATCAGTTTACAGCAATTGTACTTACCATTAGGTCCGAGGAAGAGAGTGGCTCCCCGTCCAAGAGGAACTGTAATTAGAGACCCATTTGCAGTCAGATTCCATTTGGCTGGCACATACTCAGGACAACATCTGCTGACTCCTATTCCCCTTCAGGCCACCCTAGGGTTGGGATCCCTGGCACAAAACTGGAAAGACTACCAGAAACAACCCTGTTCCTGCCTATCCATCACTCCTTTAGTTGCAGCTACCTGACCTAATAGCATATAAGGCCAGGAGGGACCATTGTGCTTTTCCTGTTTACAGACTTTACAACTCCCAGAAACATATCCAAGACAGTTCACGGAAGAGAGACAATAGATTATTCTGCAGCAACTGTTTTGAGAGATACTCACTTTTCACTCTCCTTCTACCCTGAGTCTATCTAGCTTCCGGTAACTTGAGCTCAGCACAAGCTTGTTCCAAGATGCAGTTTGAAGACAATGAATCCAGCCATTTGCCACTAATATGAAGGGCAGACCAGCTCTGAAACACCTCTGACCCTTAGCAAGCAAGTTTACTTTGCTAAATTGCCAGAACGCTATCTTTGCCGGCTTCTTTATTTAAAATCAGATTACCAAGAATTGACCCAAGCACCAGAGTGCAAGTGAAACAGCAATGGCACCTAGCTGAGAGTAGAGCGATGGGGAGAAAGAAAGAGGTGGACATGGCTGCCAAAGGAGTATGTAATTAGGCAAGGTGTGCCAAGATGGTGAGTTCCTTCTTTGCAAAGTCCAGCTACACAGTCACTATCTAGCAGGAACCGAGTTAAGTTTTAGGACCATCAGTAAGCAAAACCGATGAAGTAGACAGCGAAGACATATTAAGACCTGAGGTCTTGCAAACCTGACATCAGTATTCAACTCTGTCTGCCCCAGCCAGCACACCACATAACAATTTAAGGATATACTACTCTACCTGAAAAAAAAAAAAAAATCCAAAACCAAACCAACCAACCAAAAACTCCTAACCCCCCCCCCCAAACCCAAACAAAAACCAAACCCACACAAAACAATCACCACTGTTACACCACTGGACTAAGTTTTCAAGTTTATGAGATTCTTTCCCCTCATTTGCCTGTGAACAGAACACCCTACACCTTCAACAGCAGGGGCAGAAGACACGTGGCTAATACTCACATTGGAGGAGGCTGCCCTGGGAGACAGATGTACAAGGGTTGCCGATCGGTGGTTTTGATGGAACCATAACGGGTTTCCCTCTAAATACAACTGGGTGGGGGAAAATGGAGAAATTATTATTAGAAGCAATATTCTATACCGGGCCTAATCTGCCTGCAGGCTTCAGACTTTCTCTCTGCCTCAGGAAATATCCTTGCAGTGGAACAGTGATCAAGTAGAGGACTAAGCTTTTACAGTGCTTCCTGAAATTTGTTTGGCAAATAGAGAAGGAAATTTAAAGTACTTCCTACTCATGCCCCTAAATCATTAGGGACTTTTTCAGTACTGACTCTGAGAAGTGTTGAGAGAACAGTCCTTTGCAGGCTATCTTCCTTCACAAGCACTATAGCGCAGTTATCTGACTTCAGACTTCTCTGAACACACAAATCCACAACAGGATTAGGGGAGGATCTTTACTGAACTTGACAGTGTTAAAATCAGAAAAGGGGAGCAAGGAGGTAAGGATGAATATATGGAAAAAGGTTAGCTTGAGCAGGGTTACCAAAAAATGAAGGCTGACATACAGATGTCTCTCCAAGGCTCCCCCATCAGCTTCCCACATTAAAATTAAATGCTCAAGAGTTGAATTCATCTTTCAAAACTCTCTTCTTACCACAGTCTCCACCTTGCACCCCCTGACCATGGCGTCTCTAATCTACCAACCCATCAGGCTTTGTGCTTACTTTTTTTACACAGTGCAGAGTGGACAATGGTGCCAACTGGGCATGTTCCAGCAGCAGGTTATAGGCCACATCCAGGTGCTGCAGATTCACTAGCTGTTCAACCCCTGCAAATGAAGCAAGAAGCCATCAGCACACTAGAAGATATAACTTAAGAATCTCCTGCCCACCCCTCTCCCCCAAAATTGAACACTATTAAAAATAGCTGTGCCCAAGACTTCAAGTTCTGTTCCTCCTCGAGGAAGAGAGAAAGGCCTCAAACTCAGAAACGCTCCTCCCTTGCGGGCTCACCATTAATGCTGTCAAGCTCATTGTTGCGCAAGATCAGAGTCACCAGCTTGGATCGGCTGAAGATGCCAAGGTTTGGCACCTTGGACAGGAAGTTGTAAGCCAGATTGAGGTACTCTAGTTCTGTAAGGGTCTGTTCAGAGAGAAGAGCAGGATCGGGTCAATTGGGACCTTAGCTCAAAGCCTGATTCTGGACTCAAGACAGGGCACTAGCCCCTACCATTCTCTCCATCCCACTATCACCTAACAAGTGAGTTTCTCAAGGCCATTTCTGCAACAAGACTTCAACATTCACATTTGGAGTGGTTTGTCTAGTGGCACTCAGCATGATCTAACTGCTGGACAAAATTTGCTAGAAGCAGCTTTCTTCTTCCTCATCAATGGAGCACAGGAAGGGACTGGACCCCCACCTCAGCAAAAGGACTGAACTACCAAAAGAAGACCTTTCTTACCTTTGCAAAGATGATGGTGAATTATACACTGTAAGACCCACTAACTCCACGAAAAGCTGTTTCATAGCTTCTCTCAAAAGAAACAGATCTAGCCCAGCAGAGCATGGACTTCATTGCCATTCCCCACAGACGCACATGCCACTGTGATGGATTACCGCCTTTCTAAAGTAACTGACAGGAGATTTCTGAGAGCAAGAAGGAAATGCTACTGGCAATGCGAACAAACCGAATAGCAAATCTCTACAGCCCATACCTGTCTACGTAATTCCCACCTACTGCACAGATTACAGCAAAGTCTCGGGCACAATGGAGTGCACACTGCATGTGCGACTGTATGTATCGCTGTATTTATTACTTGGCCACACTGGAGTGCCAAGCAATACATACAGTGATACGTGCAGCTAACTTTCCTGTCTTAGAGCGGATGAGGAACATCACCTTCTCTGCCTCAGTGGCACAGGGGCTGCACATACAGGACAACAGCTTCAAGGCTACAAGCACTAGCTCTAAATCACATCCCTGCTGGGCTATGTCTCCAATTTCTTCTGTTATACTTCACCTAGCCAGCACATGGTCAATGATTACAGCACTTTAGCAATGTCCTCTCCACACGAGGAAACTCTGGTGCTCAGTCCAAGATACTCACCGTTAAATAATGCTCACAATCCTGGATCTTGTTGTGACTCAAATCCAGGACTCTCAGAGCATTCAATAATTGCTGAAGGACAAAAAGATACTAGATCAGATACTACAAACGTCTCCATTGCAGCATGGAAACCCCGTCCTGCTGGGAGAGGGCAGCAAAATTAACACTGCCCTCCCACCCACCCAGACCCAGGAGCATCAGTAAAGGAGTGCCCAGTTC